TTACTTATATTTTCGCTGGTACCTCTTGATCTGGATGTTACACACTACACTGCACCCGTGGTGTGGTCACACTGACACCTCACACGAGTACTGGGAACACATGCCAGTCCGTTAATGTTGATACGTGGGGCAGGCTGATGAGATTGGAGAAGTAGTCACGTCAGCAGTGTTCTCAGCATGCTTCCTGATCCCCGCATGCCTTGTTAGCTCTGCTGCTTCCATTTTTGCCCCTTGGATTTGGACATTCTGAAGGACTGACCTCGATGACTTGGCCTAACATTTTGTTTAAACTTTGAACCCTACCCTTCTTTTCCCCAGTAATAAGTGTTTTGTCAGCTCCAGTAATTACCACAGATACGGGCACCTTGGTGCTGGCAGTGGAGAGAGCAGTGAAGGCAGGGTATGAGTTCAAGTCATGCCATCCATGTCTCCATTTCATTGTAAACATGAACACAATTGGGCTCTGCAGACTTCCTCACACAGTTGATGCTGGTCCCTTCGTCACTGTATTCTGTACCTAGTCATTACAAGGCAGTTACAAATCCAGCTTACTGTACTATTATCTAGCCCTTATCTGTCTTGTCTACAAAGATGGAGTGAGAGAGGGAGGTGCATGTGGCTTGCTTTAATCTAGGTAGACTGTATCTGTGACGTCCTCCTGATCTAGTCACCCTATTAAAGACTAAGATTAAAAGGCCAAAAAAGGTTAGTCTGGTGTGACTTGTGGATGAACCCATGCTGTCTTGTAGCAATCGCTGCTTTCCTTTATGAGTGTTCTGAAACCTTTATAAATTGTTAACAGAGTTTTGTCAGGAAGTGAAATCAGGTTTCTAATCCTGTAGATTGAAGGGTTCACCGCCCACCCCACCCCCTGAAAAAAAAATTAGGACATTTCTGTGTCAGAAGGGATGTTGAACCCTGCTTTCCCTGGGGAGGATGGGCAAGGAGCTTCCACAGCTGCAGAGGCCTGAGGCTTCTTTCTGGACAAGACTTTATTTCGCCTTAATTGATAGCTTCCATTTATACCTGCCACACCCTAGAGCATTCCTCCCTCTGGATGGTTCCTTAAATGATGCTTGTGAATTATATTCTCTACCCCTGCTCTTGGCTCTCTATAACCCTTGCATCCTTAATTATTTATGTCTTGTAATGAAGTTTTAATTTTTTAATTTTTAATTTTCTTTATTGTAATGAAGTTTTAATAACATTTACCATTGAAACTGGTTCTCTCCTTCAGTATAGGTGTGGGGGATCACAGTACTCAGGAGCCAAATTCCTGATCTATCCTTGTATGGATGTCATAGATCCTTGGGTATCTTTAAATGAGGGAGGCCAGGCTTGCTTTTCTTCCTCTGACCAGCTTTGGGGTCTCATAGTCATCTGGGAGCTCAGCTTTTTCCATGAAGGTTTCTGGCGGATTTTCCTGCTCCTGGTCAGCATTTTGTCTCTGCTTATTCTCCATAGCCCCACTGCACGGGCTGTCCAGCCTGGAGTGCCATTTCTTTAAACAGGGGGAGGAGGAGTTTAGAGTGTCAACTATCTTATGGCATCCCACTCCGTCATCTGTTCTTCGTCTGTGTTTGTGTGTTTGTTTTTCATTATGGTTGCGCAGGCGTCTCATAATGTGTGGCATTTGTTGTTGCTGACTTTTCAAAAAGCAATAAACACATAGCATCCTGTTCACATGCAGACAGTATTTTTGTGAAATTCCTGCACCGCTCAGAGACTATAAATCATAAGTCTGTAGCCTCTCTAAATACTGATGTGTGAGAAATAAAATTGGCATGTTCACTTAACTTTTCAGTACGAAAGGTGAAGGGTACATTATTTTTAAGAGACAAAAGCAAACTCAGCTCCCGCCACGCGCCTCTCCCCCCCCCCCCCCCACTCACTCACCCACCCTCTAAGGCATTGTTGGGTCCGGGAAATAGGAGGTGGGTTGGCTTCTGTAAACTTGGTCCATAAGTCAAAATGTGCCTACTATGTACATAAGAGACAGGGTGCTGTTTGATTTGACCTGGCTTGTGGAATCAGGGAGTTATTTTGGCAACTTTCCCTATCCTCTGCAGTAGCCCAAGTTTTAGAGTTCCAACTTTAGAAATGCTCTTTGAGGGTTCAGATGGGACCCAGGATGGAATTCTCTGTTTGAATCTACTTTTGTATCTACTATTTGTGAGGTTAGGAGACAGAAAGACAAAAAACCACGAAACGTTCTGTAGGATCAAGTGAAAAAAATGTGTTTCTGTGTGTGTACACGCACGCACACACACACACATTTGTTATAGTTCAGTCATTTCAGTCATGGGTTTACTGGAGTGGTTTGCCACTTTCTTCTCTAGCTCATTTTAAAGATAAGGAAACTGAGGGAAGCAGGGTAAAATAACTTGCCCAGAGTCACACAGCTAATAAGTGTCTGAGGGTAGATTTGAACTCGGGTCCTCCTGACTCAAGGCCCAGTGGTCTATCCAGTGTGCCACCTAGCTGCCCTGTCCTCCATCCATCCATCCATCCATCCCTCCCTCCATCTGTCGATCTATCTGTCCGTCCGTCCGTCTGTCTGTCTGTCTGTCTGTCTATACATTTACACACACATGATCACCCATTCTTGTGGATATGCTAATAGGAATTTTAAACCAGAATTTAGAGAGTTAGCAATATTTGTTCTCAGTAATTTAGCCTTTAGTGGTTGGTATTCTGTACCTGAAGAAATCTGAGAGAAATCCACATAGCTTATAGTGTTAACTCAACTGCCTCTTAATTTACTACAGTGACTCTGTGAAGAGATTCTTCACTTATTGAGTATGGAAATAAAAATGATGATATTATTTAAAACAAGATGATAATGATATCATTTAAAACAAGCACCACATGTTTTGGAGAAGTTTGGTCAGAATTGTTAAAGTCTTACCTGTTTGAAAAGGTAGTGTTGACTAAGAAAAGGTAGTTGGATTTGGTCTTCAGAGAATTTAATTTGGTCCTATGGTGGCCAAGATGAATGAACAAGGAGAGACTGCAGGGTGGGGATCATTTGGGAGGCTGTTGATTGGTCGCTAGGTGTGAAATCTGAGAGTCCTACTCTATATCAGTCTTCCCAGTCTGGACAGCAAGGTGAAAAAGAGAGATGGGAAGATTGTATAGGATTGTGAAAGAAAAGACATGAAGAAGGAAGAATGGACAAACTTTGTGATCTGCTAGGGAGAGTGAATAGTCAACTATGGCTTCAAAGTTCTGAGCTTTTTCAGTGGCTCTGAGAATGAATGTGTTTATGTATATTAAAAACACAGGAGTCAATAACTCCTTTGGGGGTACAGTAAGATAAGTTTGTTTTTATCCTATTTAATTTAAAGTGATACTGAGACATCTAATTGGTAGGAATTTGGTAATGTTGAATGAGAATTGAGGAGTTGGGCTTGAGTTGGGGGTATACATTTTTGAAGCAATTCTGTGGAGAGAGGAAATGGTGGAAGCCTGCATTGGGAGGCAAGAGAGGACTCGGGTAACAGTCTTGTTAAATGTCCCTGTGTAAGGCCCAAGGAGGGGAGAAGGCTAGAGGTAAGAGAGTTTCAGGGCAGGGAAGGTGGTGCAGTGGATAGAGTGCTGGGCCTCGAGTCAGGAAGACTTGAATTCAAATGTGGCCACAGACTCTTAACTAGCTGTGTGACTCTGGGCAAGTCACTTAACTTGTTTGCCTCAGTTTCCTCATCTGTAAAATGAAATGGAGAAGGAAGTGGCAAACCATTCCAGTATCTCTTCCATGAAGACCCCAAAAGGGGTCATGAAGAGTCAGACATAATTGAAAATGACTAAACAACAAGAAGAAAAGAGTTTCCAGGAATACCAGGATGGTCTAGTGAGGCATGTAGATGGTGCAGTGGATGGAGCCTTGGACTTGGAGTCGGGAGGACCTGAGTTTGAGTCTGGCCTCAGACATTTCCCAGCCACGTGATCCCGTGGACAAGTCACTTGGCCATTGTCTGACTCTGCTTCCTCACCTGCAGAGCGGGCATCACAATAGCACCCATCTCCCAGGGTCGTTGTGAGTATCAAATGAGATAATATTTGTGGTGCCTGGCACGTACGGAGTAGGAGCTTACTAAGTGCTTCTTCTCTTCCCTCTAGCGTCATGAAAACCAAGTAAAGGCAGTGTTTCCACAAGGAACAAGCTGCTAACATGTAAAATTCTACAGAGAGGTCAGAGAGAATGAGGGCCCAGTAGAGATAATTGTGTCTGGTGATTAGGAGGCTATTTGCTGACATTTGAGAGTGTGTTTTTGAATAGAGTGCTGGAGGAGAGAATCAACCAGAATGTAGGGACAGAGTATCCCTGTTGAGGTTATCTCAGTAGGAATTTTGCATAGGGGTTATAGATTTTGTAGGGGTAACTTTGCAGAAGGTCTATAATTTGGGCTTTTATTTCTGTCTGAAAGATTAGATGGAAATGTTAGGTAAATGAGGGATGCTTACAGTGCATTTATCGCAGAGATGCAATATATTGTTACCAAGTGAGATAATGGTATGAAAACATGCTTTAGAGAGCCAAGCGCTCCCCAGCAAGGAGGTTCTTACTCTACACACACTTTCTTGGAATAGTTATTGCATTTTGCATTGAAAGTAAAAAAAAAAAAATGAAGACAGTAATCCCCATTTGCTAGGCCTCATACAATGTGATGTCCCCGGGCATGTGAATACACCACATGCAGATGCTTTCCAACTACACCCTCGCACAGATTTTCTATCAAATATAGTCATGCATGACATTAAGCAGAGTTATTAAGCTTCCAAAACACAGGCAGAGAGAGCTGAACCTGTTTGTGACCGAGCCCCTTAATTGGAAGGAGCTGAAAGGAGTTCTGCCCTTGTTACTAAAGGGGTGGGGTGTGTGTGTGGTGTGTGTGTGTGTGTGTGTGTGTGTGTGTGTGTGGCTGTCTGTCTGTCTCTCCGTCTGTCCATCCCCTTCAGGCTTTACTCAGTGTGTTTGTGATCTCCTTTTGTTTCCGCAGGCCCAGGCTTCAAGCACAAAGGAAGTTTGCTCAGTCCCAGCCGAACAGCCCCAGCACAACTCCCGTCAAGATAGTGGAGCCGTTACTGCCCCCTCCAGCTACTCAGATTTCTGACCTCTCTAAAAGGAAGCCTAAGACAGAAGATTTCCTTACGTTTCTCTGCCTTCGAGGTAGGACTGTGTGGCCACCCTCAGTGGGGAGAGCAGGAGCTTGTAACTTTTGTCCTGTTGGAAGTATTTCCTCCTTTCTTATACAGATCTTCTTTTTCCTCTAGCCTGGATTTTTGGATGAGTTTAAAGCATCATCAATCTTTATGAAAAGATAGTTAGGAATGGGTAAAGGGACAAGTATTTATTAAGTGCCTGTTATGTGCTAGGCACTATGCAGAGGGCTTAACTGGTTACCAATTAATATATTAATTAGTCTATGATTATATTATCAATTAATATAATAAAGTATATCGATTAACAGGCTTAGAATGTTTCTTCTCCCTTCTTCACCCACTCCTTGCCTTTCCTCCTTTGTGCAGTGACATGCCGGCATCTGCCTCTTCAGTAACGTTGTTCAGCCGTGTAGTTTCATGGTGTTCTTAATGCAGTCTAATCAGATTTACCTGTAAAGTCACCATTCACTGCACTAATGTAGTTTGGTAATTGCTTGAGAGCTGTATTGGATGACTAATGTTAGAGCATTGAGGTGTATCAGTCAGTATGTTTGGGCCAGTCATCATCAGAACTGAGTTTGAATCCTGCTTTCCAATTTAGCCCACTGTGACCCTCGGAAGTCGCCCAACTTCTCTGGGCCTCAGTCTCCTCCTCTGTGAAATGAGAGGGTGGAGCTAGATGATCTCTAAGGCTCCTTTCATCTGTGATCAGGTGCGTTCTGGAGGCCCTCAGCTGCTTAGTTACTTTTGCTTTACATGGTAGTAGTGCCTTAAGTTTTCTGTAAAGGGCAGCTAGGTAGCCCAGTGGATGGAGTCCCAGGCCTTGAAGTCAGGAAGACTCATCTTCCTGAGTTCAAATCTGGCTTCAGACACTTACTGGCTTGCCTCAGTTTCCTTATCTGTAAAGTGAGCTAGAGAAGGAAATGACAAACCACTCTTGTATCTTTGCTAAGAACCACACCGCTCCTCTCTACCCCCCCCCCCAAAATAGAACAAGATTTGTGGGAAAAGAGGGGAAAAGCATAAGAATCACTCAACATTGTGTAGATCTCCAAACTGAATAGTGGTATAGGAGGAAGCTGACAACACATAACAATGATATCTCTTCAAAACTTCAGTCAGTCATAGCTTTTAAGTTGAATTGGTTTGAGAGATCATGAAACCCACTGTCCTCCACCCCCATTTTACAGAAACTTGGTGAGTTGTTTTTTTGGGATCCAACTCTTATTTTTTGTTTGTTTGTTTTTTTGCTAGGCAGTAGGGTTAAGTAACTTGCCCAGGGTCACACAGCTAGTGTCAAGTGACTGAGGCCAGATTTGAACTCAGGTCCTCCTAACTCCAGGGCTGGTGCTCTATTCACTGCGCCACTAGCTTCCCCTTGTCCAACTTGTCATTACTCCATTTGGGACTTTCTTGGCAAAGATGCTGGAGTGGTTAGCCATTTCCTTCTCTACCTCATTTGACAGATGAGGAAACTGAGGCAGATAGCGTTAAGTGACATGCCCAGGGTCACACAGCTAGTAAGTATCTGAGAAAGGATTTGAACTCAGGGAGAGGAGTCTTCCTGACTCCAGGCCTGGAACTCTCTATTCACTGCACCACCTAGCTGCCCTTGCAAGTATTTTACTTTTTCAAGAATATTCTGTTTCATAATGAGAATTGATTTTAGAGCCAAAAAGACCTGGGTTCAAGACCTTTGTTATAATTGGAATTGTAGCCATAGGCAAGCCATGCAATCTTTTAAAAAACCTCATAGTAAGTGACAGATAAGTTTGCAAATCTGAATCCACACGCAGAAGTTTCTACAGGGTGAATTTCTTTCACTAATGAAATTATAGATCTGGCTCCCAAAGGGCCAGAAATAAAGAATGACTCCAGTGTGAGGTGAAATGATCCAGAATTTTGAGATTGTGAATTTGGAGAGAAAGAAAAAAAATTCTATGAGCTGTTGTAGAATTGGAATCAGTAATTGTTTAGCTGTGGAGGGAAGGGCATTAGAAGTGATTGACAGATGGTGGGCCTGGGATGACGTGGATGGGGTGGTTTCTGTGTTGGTAATGGAATAGGTAAGAAGAGGTATTGTACCTGTTTAGAGGGAGTAGATTAGCATATGGATTAGGCTTCTAAGTTACTAGGTGATGTTTGGCCTGAGTTTGAAGGTTGTACCTTGAACCGTAGTAATAGGACGGAGTCATGTAAATTCTCAAAATTCTGAAGTTCTTTTCATTATGATTATTTTGAAGGAGAGAGGAGTAATTAGGAAGATTCCTTTATTCTTTTTTTTTTTGGCGGGGGGGTAATCAAGATTAAGTGACTTGTCCAAGATCACACTGCTAGTAAGTTTTCAAGTGTCTGAGTCTGGATTTGAACTCAAGTCCTCCTGACTCCAGGCCCAGTGCTCTGTCTACTGCGCCACCTAGCTGCCCCTGTGAGATTCTTTCAGAAGGAAGAAAATGATAGATAAGATATGTCTGCTGCTTATAGACTTGCTTGTGCTTTGTTAGATATTTCACATTTTTGCTATTTCTTTGCCAGAGAGCCTCTGGCATTTTATTTCTCAGGTGACTTTTGCTGTAAACATTACGAGATATCCACCTTGGTTGTTCCAGGTCATCAGGTAAAAGAGAACCTTCCCTAGACCAGAGGAAGTTAATGAATAGCCTCTGTTTCTGGAGCCTGGGTTTTTGCTCCTCCCCATCAATTCTAGAAAGATATACCGGGTGCTGAAAGCTTGCAGTCTGGAGCACGTGTAATAGAAGTGAGTCCCTCTGCTTGTAGCTAGCTGTCTTACTGTCTGGAATCAGCAGAGAAGCAAGCTTTTCTTCTTGCTGCTCATTTTCCCAAAAGTGTACAACTAGGATTTTGGGGTTGTTTTTTGTTTTTGTTTTTTCAAGGAAAGGAAGAATGCATGTGTGAAACCTTGGGAAAAATGTTTTTATTTACAGTCGATTTGTCTGTGTCTGTGTCTCTCTCTGTCTTTGTCTCCGTTGGAAGGGGTAGCCTGAATAGATGGCCCTGGCAGTGTGGGATTCCAGTGTGAAGTGTGGGTTACCAGGTTGCCCCTTGTTAGATATTTAGGTGTGCTTGGACATCATGGAATGCCAAACATCCTTTTACTCTCCTTGCTCCCGTTTTAGAGAGGCATGAGGGCTGCACAGAGTGCAATAGCCAAGCCCTGAACCAGCTGAAGAATGCAGTCACTTTTGTCATTGGCCCTCGGTGATTTCAGTAGAAAAGGCATTTTGCTGCAGTGTGTAGTCTGATGTTTTTGGTTTGGAAAAGCCACCTTCCTCAGGCATTTTTTAATCAACTAATCATTGATAAGAAAGAAGTGCTTCTGTGCAAGACTCACTTGGGTAGAGAAATCAGAAAGAAGGGCTAGAAAGAATGTTTCCCTTTAACATGTGCAACTCCATCTTGGGGTATGTATTGAAGATAGTAAAAACCATGAAGAAGGTGGAACAAGGGAGTGTTGTAGGCTTAGTGGTATATATCTGTGGCACCCAGAATAAAAGTTCAGAGAGCTGACGAAACATATCCTTTGTTCCTTCTTCCATCCTGACCCTCACTCCCTATCCCCCTATGTTGAATTAGCAGAAATCCTAAAAGAATTTCTGTCACTGAAAATATGCATAAAGGTACACACCTACCTATTATCTATTATTTAAGAGGCCCCAGAAAAGCCATCTGTTCTAAGACGTTTAGAGGTCGCTGGACTAAATTTGGCTGGGGTCTTTCCCTTCCCATTTTAATACCTTGACCCAGAATTTCTAATAGAAGGGATAATTGAGCAAGCACACAGAGATATGCCTGGTGTTTGCAGTGTTCTTACCTCTAAATAGCTACTTTGCCTGAGCTCATTTGCCCTTTGCCAAAGGCATAATTAGTGTCTTTCAGTTGGTGCATGTGGAGAGGACATGTGCTTGTTTATAGTAGTACACAGATCCTTACCATTGTTATGTTTCCTGGCATTAGAATGAAAGTCTTCTTTATAACTTCCTTCATCTTTATTCTAGTCTGGTTTTCAATTATTTACAGATTAAGCAGGGAAAAAAAGAACTAAAACTTATCACTGTAGATCCCTGATAACCAGAATTTCTTAAACTCGTTTCTGTGGAACCCTGGTGATCCATGCAATCTAAATAGGACTTTCTCTTCGTTTTTTAATAGTATTTTTCCCCAATTACATGAAAGGCAACTTGTAAACCTTCATTTTTTTTTAATTGAGTTTCAAATTTTCTCCTTCCCTACTGCCTAAAAAGGTAAGAATGTTAAATAGGTTAATTTTTCCACATTAGTCATGTTGTGAGAGAAGAAACAGACCAAAAAGGGAAAAAGATAAAGAATGTGAAAATAGTGTGCCTCAGTAAGTGTGCTTCAGACTCCGTCAGTTCTTTCTCTGGAGATGGATAGCATTTTCCATCATGAGTCCTTTGGAATTGAGTTGGATCATTGTATTGCTCAGAAGAGCTAAGTTATTCATAGTTGATGGTCATACAACATTGCTGTTACTGTGTACAATGTTCTCCTGGTTCTGGTCTCTTCATTTTGCATTAGGGCATGTAAGAGTCTCCAGGTTTTTCTGAAATCATCCTGCTTGTCATTTCTTATAGCACAATAGTATTCCATTACATTAATATACCACAGCTTTTTCAATCATTCCTTAATTGATGGGCGTTCCCTCAATTTCCAATTCTTTGCCACCACATAAAGAGCCGCTCTATATATTCATGTACATGTTGGTCCTTGTCCCTTTTCTTTGACCTACCAGCGATATTGCTGGATTAAAGGGTATGCACAATTTGATTTCCCTTTGGGTTTTTCTTCATTCTTCAGAATTTTTTTTCTACCTAAAATATTATAACTTCTGGCTTTGATGCCTGTTTTTGGTGTGAAGGTTGCCATGGGTTCTTGAATGCTCTGCTCGTTGTGGGGAAACATTGGCAAGGTCTATCAGAGTGGAAGGGTTCTGTGGATGGGGGCTTGTGAATATGTCATCTGAGGAAT